AAGCAAACATTCCCCTTTAATATATTCAGTTTTAAAAGTTATCCAACAATTAAGAACAAAATGTTTGTCTTTCCATAAAATATCTATACATCATATCATTGTTACAGCATCAAAAATACAATGCTGTATTTTTTAAACAATATACATTTAAATAAAAAAAAAATGTTTTAATTTAAAGCATATAAAATCAGTATTTTTGCATAGTGTCTCAAAACGACATAAATTTCTCTCGCAAATATCGCGAACAACGTGCTAGCATATAACGTTGCGAAAAAACGATTTCAGAGCAACAAAATATCACTAAAGAACAATTAATAATCATACTTATTGCGAAAAAACATACGCGCCATGTCGCGAATTATGATCAATAATCATATTTCCTGCGAAAAAAGATATGCCCAACTTCTAACTTCTCGCCCCTTCTTTTGAACATATGCGTCCTCGCAATAAATCATTATTAAAAAACATATTAAAACACATTTAATTACCTCAAATTTGTATTTATTGGTAAAGTAAAATACAATTTTCAATTCAATATCATTTCAATATAGCATTTATTTCATTATAGCATCAACAATTTTCCTTGCAGTGTCTATTTCTATATTTTTCAAAACACCTGAAGCAATCATAGATTCCAATGCCTGTAATCTGTGATCATATGGTCTACTGTTGATAATGCTATACATATGATAATCTTTATATCTGTCTGGTACTGTCTTCGTTTTTTCTGATTTTCTACTTGTTTGTTGTGGTAACAGTCGCTTTCGTTTCTTCACTCCAATTCCTTCTGTCTCCTGTTTCTTTACTTTCTCTCCATCTATCTCTTGTAATGTCCTATCTTCTCTACTTGTATCTTCTGGCATAGTTTCATCTGTCCTTGTTTGTTTGTTTGGATTTTTACGGCACGTCAACACAGAACTGGCCATATCGTGCTGAATGCTATAATAGGCTTAAAATGTTATGTAAAACTTTGTAAATGACAATAGAAATGAGCCAATTAGATCCTAGAATACAAGTTTATCTCTTTCAAATAATCAATCATGTTTTCTTTATGGAATTGTATTAAAGAGTTATTTGAGTGAATTTACAGAATAAAATCTATTACGGGTCTGTGAAAAATCATTACATGCAAGAAGAAAATGCTTGACTACAACCTACACAGAAAGGGGCATTGTCATTTGTGAGGAGATAAGAGTGGGTAATTTTAGTGTGTCCAATTAGGCATCGAAGAAGAACTGTCTGATCACGGCGGTTTGACAGAGATAGAGATGGTGACACATCAAGAAATGGGTTTATATCGTGAAGTTTATTAAAAACGGCATTGTCCCAATTTGCTTTCCATTCAGATGATACGAGTGTATTTATAGCCGGTCTAAAATCACAAGCAGGTAACAATAAGTCAGTTTTTTGAAAATTTAATGATTGTTTAGCTAAAGCATCTACTTTTTCTTTTCCTCGTATACCTACATGACTTGGAATCCAATAAAATTTAAAATATTTTGTTTTTAGTATATCATGAAATCGTAAAAGAAGTTTCTTTATCATGATATTGTCAGCTTTTTTCAGCTAAATTTTCTGGAATGGTGGTTTCATCTTCTGTCTCTGCCACGCTACATGTTATATCTGAGTCTTCTTGTTCTTCTATAAGGTGAAGTTGTTCTAGATGATCAGTTTGAACATTTGTCTCCTCCTCTATCTTCTCATCTTCAACCAGTGATTCTGCTGCTTTTGGAATCTTTTGGTTTGGTAACTTTTGCAGGTTCTTCTATTACTTGTACGCTGTTTTTGATTACGCCTGTTTCTTCAACATTTGCATCAATGAAAGGTACTTCTGTATCTACTTCAGGTTCTTTCTCACTTTCAGTATGATTACATCTTGACTGATAGGCGTCCCCATCTATTTTTGTTTGTTGAAACAAAATATATCATCAAATTTCATCATCTGAATTCTTCTGAGTCTGTGACGTCACATGTTTCTTTCCGGATGCATTCCCTTTATCTCTATCTTTCTCCTCTGCAGATTCCTCTCTTTTCTGTCTCATTTTATCTCTTCTATGTCCTCAGTTGCTTCTTCTTGGTATTTAACTGGGAATAGATGATTTCTATGTAGTGTGCGTTCTTTGCCTTGGTTTGATTTGACTAAATACACTGGAATGTCTTTTCTTGGTTGTTCAATGACTTTATGAATGTCTTCTTCGAACTTGTCAGCTTGCAGTCAGGAACAAAATAAATATAAACAGTAATTTAATGCTAGGAGTTGTCTATTTCATTTGTATATTCCGATATATTGAGTAAAAGTGACTTTCGTTTTCTAAAAGGAAATAAATGGTCTGTCTTACAAGTTTAAATATAGAGAGCGGACTTGTAGATAAGAAGAAAAAAAAAGGAAAAAGAAGAATAAATGAATTAAAATAAAAAGTCGTGCTTTTTGCATCTAGTTTAAAGCATGGTTATAATACCCGTCCGGTATTTTATATTTTACGTATCAATGTACAATCGCGAGTTAAACACGATGAAATTAAATAAGTATACGTTCGGTCCATACATAATATATTCCTTACTCGAAGTGGCCCTTCTTTTATGGCTTTTTAAATCGTTTTTGTAAAGTAAATGCATTTATTTATGGAGTGTTAATATCGAAAATGCTCAGTTATTCATCTTACAGCACTATTTTTTACAGTTACTTATTAATAGTAAAATAATTTTCTTTACGATCAAAAGTAAACATCAATGCCCTATGCATTTTCTCTGTCAATGCCGTAAACCTTCGGTTAAGGACCTCAAATACAAAAGTAAGTATACACAGAACAGATACGGTGTTTCAGTCTTATATGCAGTGAGAAACTAAATAAAAAATAAATATTAACAGTAATTTAATGCTGGGAGTTGTTTATTTCATTTGTATATTGCGATATATTGAGTAAAATTCCACTTTATTTAAGTAAAAGTATAGATATAAAAAAAAACGGAACATTATGCACATATTTGGGCCATTGTCGCATAATGGGCGAGAGCAGCAAGATTTTAACATCTTTAGGCATTAAAGATGTTAAAATCTTGCTGCTCTGACCCAGTATGCCAGAAAACCGTCGTTTACACATTGTCGCTTATCTTCCTTGTCGCCTTGTCCATGATACAGATAGTTGTCAATGTAAACAAAGATTTGTCATTCATTTTATCCTCCGATATACTTATAAAACATGATAGCACAAAATTATATGAAAACAAATGTTATGTTATTGTTACATATATTGAGAAATACTTTTTATGAGATAAACGTTCAGTGTCAGTTTTATTATAAACTTGTGTGTTACAAGAACAAATCGGATTTTAAAATACAAATCTAGCTATTAATGCTAATTTCCCCCGACATTTTCTTCCGTAAATCTGAATCTGAAATCTTTTTCGGAATTTCTGAGGAGTATGTTTTGTCTTTGGTAGAGGTATTGATTTTTTCTTTCAGTATTCATCATTGCTGAGTGGGATTGGTTATGCCGACTCGCCACATCAGCTATGTCACTTACTCAAAACTAAATGTCCCCAATAGATTGTAAACTTAAAACATTGAAGGGAAAGTTCAAAAGCTGCCAATCTTTTACAATTATGCCCAATCAAAAAATAAATGTTCTAAATTCGACTATTCGAAGCATAATGAGATCTATCTTAATCCCTAGAATGGCAGTGCGTAACCACTTATGTTAAAGTTTAAGTACCACCACAAATACTTTGAAAAGTATGTAATTCATTTATGATAAAGGTCATTTTAACAGGAGACATTGTCAATATAAGGATTGCTTTTAATTAAAATGCATCTTTTCTAAAAGTTATTTAATTTAAAATGGAATAAAAAATCTTATTGAATAGTTATTTTCATCAATAAAGTTCGTATTTTATATTAATGCGATTAATTTATGGATAAATACATACGACAATTATAAATAGTTGGTCTTTTTTTTAATTTGTCGGTAATATATCATCATCTCTCCGTTTATAAACGAGACCTGGAACCCAAATTTCAATCCCGGATATTAAAACATAGGATAATGATGTCATTCTTAAAATAGAATGATGATGTCTTTTTCCATGTTTATCCAATATGGGCACGGCGCATGCGCAGTCGTGGCCCTTTAGAGACCCTTATACAAACATGTACTATTTATACCAAACAAAAACCTTGACATTTCATGATTTATGGTGTTCAATTTCTTAAATTGTCAAAAGGCATCAATCTCATTCTCAATTAAATAACATTTTGAAATTTATTAAGACAGTCAGGTGCTTATTCTCAACTGGATGGAGCCATTTTCAAGGGCTTCATTAATAATTCAAATATTTTGTTGGACAATTACAAATAGATAACACGTAGTAATTTCAGAATCTTCTTCCGAGGTAGTTTTAATTTTGTTGTGATTAATGCATTCGACCAAAATTTTAAAACGTTGTCCTTATAATCAAAATGATAGGATCAAATCTGATCATTGTTAATCATTATCATGATTATCGGTAACATAGTTTATAAAACAAAGTTTACTATTAGGTAAACATTAGGTTATTTATTATACCATAGTGACATTCTGCAGTAATTAATTATAACATGTTCAGTAGAAATGGTAAAATAGCATTTTCAAATTCGTTCAATTTATTAATAATAATTATCATTGTATCCCTAGAAATAATTAGTGACAATAAAATGTTTGTGAAAAAAAATCAAATTATCTGACACAAGTAATAAGCTAGTGTATATAAACCGTCTTAAATATGCGTTTACAATTATAGCAAACTTATTGACAAAATACCTAGCTTAATGCCAATGAAAATAAAGAAAAGAGACGACAGAACCATCTTTGAATGTATGCATTATTAAATAATGCAAGGTGTCACCGTCTATACTTCAATCAAAATTTTAATTATAAGTTTTTGTTTGTTGTAATAAATCTATTTTTAAAAAAAGTAAATCCACCTTTTTAGGTGTATCCCTACAAGAAATAACACTTGCACCGATGACAGTAGATGTTGTTGAAAATTCAAGTGTCGTTTTGACATGCTCATTAACTGGTAACGTATCGGCATGGAACTTACATGCGAATCAAGTATGGTCGCTTATATATATTTCAAAAAACGAGACGTGTGAGGCATTTGGCTTTATAAATAACAGTTCTCTTTACTCTTGGAACTGCAACAGAAATGGAAGCTTTTCATTAACATTGGTTAAAATTAACAGATTACAACATGGACACATTTGGAAGTGCAGACAAGGACTAAATGCGATAAGTAATGAAGTAGTTATCAATGTTAAAGGTATGTTATAATTCTTTTATATACTGCTCAACTTTTGCTAAGCACCATGTTTGAGTGGTTATATTTTTGGGATAATTTTATTAACGCCGTGCAACAGGTTTTAAATGTAAATTTATTGTTTTATCAATTCAGCTGAAAGAAGATTTTTACCATAAAAATGAGTTTGACAAAGATTGTTTTTGCTAGAGAAAAAGATGACCCCTCAAGGACCCCTCCTTGAATTTTTCAGAATATCTAGCGTCTTTTCCAAGTTTGAAAAAAAATGTATTTTTTGTGTACAGTTTTAGACTTATACCATGTGTGACCCGTGTCTATTAATGACAGCTTGGCAGCGTCTATTCATACTTCCTATTAGGTTTCTGAACATACCATGTAACAGGCATCTCTCTCAGGCTCTTGTGATGATGGTGTGGTGTACCCGAAGACCCCCATCAACCTTGCGAAAGGTAGGCCCCTGCTGCGCCATCCTTACAGCCCTCCATTACGTTGTTTCTCTCAAATGCCACCTAATGTTAGCATTTGCCTTATCGAAAATTAAGATGTAAGAAATGTAAAAAAGAGAAAAAAAAGAAACCCTCAAGAGAGCCCAACACGGCAAACTTGAAAATGTTGTAGGCTCGGTTTGATTGAGTCTGTTCATGGACGGTTTGTAAGTGCAAATTACCGTCCACGCCCCTAGCACCGGCTTAAGCAGAATTTAACATTTAAACAGGAAAAATGGTGAAATTTTGAATTTAGAGACATCCGCAAATGTGTTCATTCGGCGATTATCATGGAACCTTCAATGTGGCACAGTAATGCCATTCCACGAAAAGCGACGTATGGTCCCTAAGTGAAAGAATGCGTGTGATCTAATCTAGAAAACAATGGGCGGAGCTAAACAAAATGGAAATTTGAAAGGGGATCTGTGGTTATGAAGCCTGCATATCACATACAAGACGTCTGTAAGTCACTGAATGACAAAAGTCCGGTATTGTCGCTGTAAACAAAAGACATGTGAGTGTGCACCCAATAAAAACATGAAAATATATGGGTGCGTGCTTTCCATGCTACTTAGACGAGTTGTTACGGATAAGTCAACACGGATTTCTGTCAGAGGACTATTTCAAAACATTGCTGCATCAGAATTTTCAAGACTTTGAAAGAACTCTATTTTAAACTTTTAATAATATAAAAATTAACTAATGGTTCTTAGCAAAAGTTGAATAGTATATTTAATGTTGCTATGTTGGACAAATATCAAAATTTGGTACAATTCCGTATGTTGCGCCCGAGAAGCTCTATTCAATATCTATCTCACTGTATAAACACAATCTTTCAGCTAAGCAACTTTGTTTTTTAAATATCACCAGTCGTTGTTCAATGTTGTAAAAATCATTTGGACACAGGTTGAGAAAATAGAGGACTTGAATGATTATGTCAATGTTCGCACAAAACTCGGTAATTTGGTTAAACAATGTTCTACTGAATTTGGGGAAGGTTATGGATCTGATTAGATATCTAACGAGACACTTCTTACATGGATAAAGAAATGTCTGACTAGCTTAAAGTCCTTTAAGATGTTACTTAATCCCGCCGAACTGTAAACGCCAAGATAGATATTTTAAAAGTCAGGAAATAACTGAAAGTGATAACAGGTACTCGATCTGAAAAGTTGCCATAGCTGTAGGCATATTGCTATCGTGGACGCATTTAATTTTAAACAAAGACAATGTGTAATCATTCTTATTGGTCACGAAACATGGGTACACTATTTTACCGCTTTACAAAATGACAATAACATATCGAATGACTAAGCAAACACTATAGAAAGGGTGTGGTTGCCAAAAGGACCATAAGCACAAAGTCTGTCCATAATTGCATATTCTTCTCATGTACATTTTCTGACATGATGGTATAGTAATGAGATATTTTCTAAGCAATAACTAAGGTTTCGTTATAATATATTCCTACGCATTTTAACTGGACTCGTATATTATTCTTCAACAATTGTTTCTATGTCCTAACTACATAATTTCAATTTTAATCCAGCAGAAACTTTTATTTAGCAGAAAAACGTACACATTCCTGTACGCTAGAGTACAAATCTTGTAGGTCGGTGTAACTGAAAAGATGTTTCATCCGTCCGGGCTTGTGAAGCAAATTTTAAAGTCGACAAAGGACATCAACCATACTGTCCATGTCCCTTTCCCTTACCCAAAATAAGTATGATCAGATTGTCAATATATGCCCTGACAGACCCATGACTAAGCTCAATAAATCAAATGACGTCCGGAAAATTACTTCTTCATTTGACGTAGTTAAACACAGTTTTATCAATTCTTTTTTTGATAAGTATTCTAAAATGGAAATGCACATTATTGTTTCTCACATGATGGTAAAGACATGCATAGTTTATCGTTGAAATATTTTCTAAGCAATCACTTAGGTTTCGTTATAATATATTCCAACGCATTTTAACTGGACTCGTATATTATTCTTCAACAATTGTTTCTATGTCCTAACTACATAATTTCAATTTTAATGCAGCAGGAAATTTTATTCTGCTATTTAAAGCATTGCTTTATCCGGACTGTATGCGCCATTCGTATTTTACTGTCATATTTATTTAATACAATCATTTTTGAAATATTATTGTTATAAAAGTTTAACAATGTTTTTACACTGAAAAAATGATAGCTTGTTTCCATTAGATAACAACCAGTATTACCTAATGAATACTAGGAACTTAGTATCTGATGTTAAGAATGCAACTGACATCATCTGACAAATGCATCGATTCATCCCCTTTTTCTCCGTTTTCTTGTTCGCTACGTTTTACAACTTATCATTTTATCATAATTTATTTAAATGTTGTCTATGATTTTTACATTGATACACACAGAATGAAATATTTTATAGGTCATATAATTTTTTTTTAATTTTGTCACGAAGCAGACTTATGTTATTTTACATTTGAATTTCCGTCGCTTCGTGAATGGACATAGGTATAAGACAATACGTCATACAATTTATAAGTCTATTAAAAAACTTGAATTTTAAAGGGTGTTACAGGCGCATCGCTACCGGTTTTATTTTGGTAAATAACCATTGTTTTATGCTTATCTATGTACATTACAAAATGTGACTTAACTTTAATTTCAGTTCCAGTTGAAAACGCTGAAATCACTTCACCAAGCGGCAATATTGTAACATTAGTAGAAAATTATTATAATGTGTTTATATGTGTTACATCATACAGTAGACCAACTCCGTTTGTGAAATGGTTTATGCGACTTGAAGGAAAAAACATCGAAATTAATCAAATCAGTTCTTTCGTTGTCACATCTGGCGATAAAGGTTTTCAATCTGCAAGAAGTCAACTAAATATCAGTGTCAATAGAGAGAAACTGGGGACTGAAATTTTCTGCAATGGCTTCAATGGCTTAGGAACAGAGGCTATGTCTCGCACAGTAACCCTTAACGTACTATGTGAGTTATCTGTATTATAGAAAACCTTGAAGACTTTAATACGAATACAATACATATATTTATATTAAGTAGTAAAAACAGATTTTCTTAGCACTTTAATTGATTTCTCCTTAATTAGCAGAAAGAGGAAAGAGAGCGTCTTGATATGCTATTAATTTCGTAGAAATATTGTATGCATATTTTACTTAATGAAACACTACGACATCTTTTATAAAATATTGATTTTATTGTTGCTGTTGATGTTGTTTTTTTCTGAACATACTATTGTTCTTTTTGTGTTGAGATTGAATAATAGTTTGATGTTACTTCCTAAACGTCATTGTTATGTTTGATTTCAGATCCGCCAAGCATTAATGCAATACCCGATAAGCGAGTAATAGAAGGATCAGACGTAGAGTTGACATGTCCAATCACTTATGGTAACCCAGCTGCGACAAGTTTTATATGGACAAGGGAATTAGACGACAAGCGTTGGTATAAAGAGTCATTTACGATTCATAACGTTTCCCGAAATGACAGTATGAACTATACGTGCGTGGCTAATAACACAATGGTGATGAAAGGAAATATAAGACAAATCGGTTCAGCAAGCAGGAACACACAACTTATGGTCTTGTGTAAATATTAAAACACTTGTTGGTAATGTAAATCTTCATCTAAAATGTTAAATTATACAAAAAGTTATACGCATTAACTTGTTAGGTTTTCTTTAATAAAACACTTAATACAATCTAATTAAATCAAATTTTCTTCATATAGAGCTTATTCATCGCAAATCAATTTAGAAATAAATAAGATTTGAATATTAAATTACCGAAGAGGGTTACTTTTACCAACATTCAAATATACGACGACTGATATTTGGTTATATATTTTTAATGACCTATTTGAACTTTATTGAGAAAACTGTGTTGTTTCATCAACAGATCCTCCGAACAAACCATCAATAGTGCTTATTTCCATATCAGACTCAGAAGGCGTAAATAATCTTGTCACCGATAAGTTGATTGTTCTTGAACATTCACATTTTACTTTGTCATGTAAAGCCAATAGTCTACCAATGCCTAATTTTTATTCATGGAATCAAACGACAGGGGCAAATTCTTCAACATTGCACATTTCTGGATTGACAAGGAACGAAAAAGACGAAATCACGTGTCATGCCAGAAATACTATGGTTTCTACTGAAGGGACATCAATGACAGGCAAAAATAATATAACGATTTTGATAGATATCCTATGTAAATAGTTTTTTTTTCATCTTACGTATTTTATTGATTTTGATGTTTATAAATGTAGGCCAAGAAAGTAAGTAAGTAAGTAAGTAAGTAAGTAAGTAAGTAAGTAAGAAAGTAAGTAAGTCTAATGCGTTTCTAAAACTTAATTGCCTTATAATATTCTTCAATTTTGTACAGATTTAGAATTCAGTTTAATGCTTATAACAGGAATTGTATTCTGAAAATGAACATAACACAGAATATACTAATTGGAACAATTAAAAGAACGATATTCAATATACATCTTCCATTTATCTTATTAATGAAATTTCAGATTCTCCAGACATTGGAAAAATAGATAACATTTCCTCTGAAGAGGGAAAAAGTGTGGAGTTGTCATGTCCAGTTATAAATGGGAATCCTAACAAAACAAGCGTCCTTTGGACAAGAACAAAAGACGAACTGCTATGGTTTGGTGCAGTCGTTACTCTGAAAAATATTTCAAGGACTGATAGTACAACATACACATGTAGAGTTAACAACACTATGATAAGTACGGGTGGTTTCATAGCAGAGGGGATCATAAGTAAAACTATTGAACTTAATGTGTTATGTAAGTATGCATTATTTTATAATTTTGTTTACAATTTCAAGTTTCTGTCTTTGTTGCAATTAATGCTAAAGTAAATATTGTATAATCACGTGTAACAATTTGTTCATGCACTGTTTTAAATAAGGCTGTTAATTGGAAAGATGTTTTGTTACTGTATCTTTTGTGTTGAAGATTGAGTATGTTTGTTATAATAATAGGAGAGATATAACTATCTCGCTATCTGAAACATTTGTTTGTTAGTTAGTTAAGGACTGATCATTTATATTTATTTATTGAATTTCATGATTCATTCAATCATAATAAATTTTGTTGTATGTTGTGATTGCAGACAAAGCTCTTGTCCGTAAATATTTTGTTCTGGATAATGCAGCATATGCCTCTGTGACGATTGCAGAAAATGAAACAGTTAGTCTACAGTGTGAAATAGAAGGGAATCCTACACCATCATGTGAAATAAACATTGATAACAATCCGGATATGGAGCAATATGTCAATTATTCACAAAACTATGCGACATGTTATATCACTATCAAAGCAAGTTGTGTATATGATAGTGTATATACATGTAAAGGTTCCAATGTCTTTAATAAGGCAGAATATACGGAGAAAAAAATCAATGTCTTCGTACAATGTAACTATGTTTTTTTTTCATTTGTTTTCATTTCAAGAAAATTCAAAACAACTTATAAGGTTTAAATTATACAAAACTTTTGTTTCAATGCAGGACCATTTTTTGATGACAATTATTATATTGATAAACAAGTACAAGTTTTATTTTTAAACCATTTATTGATATGACATACATAATTTTCTTATTTGATAAGAATGATGAACTATCAAATACATATTGATAAAATTTAAATTTCAAAAAAAATAATAAGTTATATGAACAAAAGTAATAGTAGTTAAAACATTACATATTATTGAAAAAGAAAACTTTACGAAAGAAGGTTTATTTAAAAAATGAGATTATAGAATTTATATATCTGAAGTTTAATCCTATTTAGGTTCTCCTAGACCAAATCCTTCTGTGCCAACAATGGATCACGTAATTGCCGAGGTTAATACGCCGACCAGTCTGCACTTTACAGCACTCGCTTACCCAAAACCTATCAGTGCCTCATGGAGTAAGTTTGTTGGACATTCCTGGATTACAGTTAATGAAAGCAATAATATACGGATATATCAATCGGATTTGGATTTTGGTATCACAATTATTCGAGTAACGAATGCAGACATTGGAAAATACCAATTATTGATTTCTAATGCCATTGGATCCTACATTCATATTTTCGAAATTGAACAAAAAGGTAAGTAAGATCTGTTTGTACAACGTTAGAAATTCTAAAAGAACATGTCGTAACGATACTATCAGCCAGTATTATCATCAAAAATCCGTTGTTGTCGATTTTATTTGTACATACTAATAGTGATATTAGAAGATATGTCATGGTCGGTTTATTAAAGGATGTCCAAATTTGAGATTCATAAAGTTTTGTTTTGAAACGTTCTCAGTTTTAAAGTTTGAATGTGTAAAATTGACAATAAAACTATTTCGTATGGAAATAAATGTAAAAAATATGACCTGTGATACTAGATAAAAACAACATGTTGTTCCAGTCTAATCATACATGAAACTATTGAGAATTTAGGATATTTGTGATAAAAGATATAATTATGAGTACATATTTGTCGGTATATGAAAGCAATTATTTTATTTTGTCTTCTAATATGAACTAGTGTTGCAGAAGATTGGATTCATTGAGAAGAAAAGGAAACATACACAAAGTACACAGTGTGGTATAATTTAAACACAAAATGTAAATATGATCGAAGGAAAGCCGAAATAATTAGCTTATATTTCTTCCAGCGGCGTCAACACATTCCAATGAACCTGCCAGAACTGGACTCATTATTGGATTAATTTCAGCTATAATTTTTATCATAACTATTGTTAGTGTGATTTTGTATAGAAGGTATGTACTTATTCCATTGCACTTGTTTTATTTTTAATTCTGTTCGCGTAGTGTTAAAATGCAACATTTATGTCATTCAATATTACTTAAGTTAACCAATTTGAAAATGATTATATAACTGTTGGTTAACAAACTTTTTGTTTATATTTCAGCAGCTTGTTTATACATTATCGACGCCCATACAATACCTAATAATGATTTGTTTTTGTGTTGCCCCTACGGAGTAGTGGCGACATATAGGGATCACTCTTTCCTCGTCTGTCTGTCCGTCACAAAGAATATTCCGGACTACTCCTCATAAACTACCGATGCAATTTCATCTAAACTTTACAGGGATGATCAGTACCAAGTCTAGTTGTGCATATCATCAGCACTTTCCTGTTCAATAGTTATTTCCCGAGTTATGGTCCTAAAATAATTTTCATTTTTTAAGTTTGTCTGGACTTCTCCTCTTGAACTTATGCAATTTCAATGTAACAAGTTGCACGGGTTTACCGGTTGAAATATTTTTGGCCGAGTTATTGCCCTGTAATAAAAAGGTGATTTTTCATTGTTGCCACTTACACAAAATATTGTCCGGAATACTCAAAAACTACTGGTGCCATTTCATCCGAACTTTACAGTAAGTCTAGTTGAGTATATCTTCAGCATTTTATTGTTTAATGAAGTTTGTCCGAGTTATGGCCCTTTAATTATTTTTATTTCTTAAAGTTTGTCCGGAATACTCCTCTTATACCACTTATGCAATTTCAATGAAACTTTACAAGATTGACTGGTAGGACAAGTACGTGCGCATTCTACACGGGTTTTCCGCTTGAATGATTTGTGGCTGAGTTATTGCCTTTAAATAAAAAGGTGTTTTTGTATTACCAGCTAAGTGTCGCAATTGCATCAAAATTTTAGGGGAATGATTAATACCATGTCTAATTGCGCATCTCAACATTTTTCAGTTCATTTAGTTTTTGCCCTTTCATGATTTTAATTTTGAAATTTGTCTGGACTACTGCTGTTATACCACTACACTGTCAATGAAACTTTACAGGATTGATCAATAGCTCAGATTCTTGTGCATATTACACAGGTTTTTAGGTTGAATGATTTTTTGCTAAGTATGGCTATCATGAGGCGACACATGTCATCACTGATGACCCTTGTTTTAGGAAAAATCAAAAATGCAGAGAGACGGTTGTGAGCAATTCGTATCAAAACGTATCAGGTAGGATAAGATTTTGAATTGTATCTGATATTACCTAGAGGTTTAAGATTAAGTAAAATAAGTTGAGCTAGAATTACAAATACTTATTTTACTTCAAATTTCAAATTCTCTAATGAAACAAAATTACTACTTCGTGATTTAAACTGACTTCTCTTATTATGTTTCATTATCCTTTGCATTACTTAGTTACATTTACATAATAAGTAATTATAACCGGTACATTTATAAATTGACTCAAGAAAGGAAGACCGCAGCAAGCTACGGCAGGCTTGCATACTTTGCCCAGGGTTGCTTTTGGTCCCTGGGTCACTATTACTAAAATAAATTAAAAAAATAGTTTCCGGTAGAAATAAAAATATAGCAAGCTTACTCAATTACCGTAGGATCACTTTTGGGTTCACTGGTGGTCAAGGCTACTGTTGCTCAAAATATAGAAATAGCTTTTGATGGATTGCTAAAGTAAACATTGTATGTGCATATTATGAATGTTGGAGGTAAGATATGAATGGAATATGAACAAATGTCATAGATATTTGCATTTAGTAAACTAATAGTTCAGTTGCATATAAAGGAATTCAAGGACTTTTTCTTTGATAAGTTATGTTTATTTCTTAAGATATACTTAAAATGCTCAGAATAAAGGCAGCTTTCATAAGTTTTTCTTATTGTTGTGAAGTGAAGGAAGTTAATGATTTTCGTTACAATAAGGGTAAGTAATTCATCAGTTCTTTTTTTTTATAATAAAGAAAATTTCACAGATACTTTAATTTGCAAAGTACAATATTTTTGTGAACATTTATATCTGAAGAAAATGTAATTGTTATTGTTTATAATAATTAGAAACCATATTAAAATATAAATGAGGAAATACAAAATTAATATAAACTATTTATTGTGATCTAATCGAACTACACTTGGATTGACTATAATTGTTACAATTTTTGTAATTTACAATTTTTGTATCTGAAAAATAATCTTTAAAACCACATACTATTGCATCAATTTATTTGGAATTTAAAAATGGTAACACTTTTTTTCCCCACAACTGAAGTTGGGGCCCTCCCAAATAACTAAATGGCATTATCAAGGGGGGTTTTGGGAAAATCCCTTTATTCATTTTTTAAAATTTATTTATACCTAAAATTTTTAAAAAGAACAAAGATTTGTTTTTAAAAAGCCAAATTTGAGTTCGTGACTTTGGTTTTTTTGTAGACAAAATTTTTAAAAATTTAATTCATGGCGAAAGGTTCATTTTTTTTTAAAAAATTGGGCAAAAGTTTTCTTTTTTTTTCCTTTTTGGGTGGATTTAAATTTTTCTACAAATTTTGGTGAAACCCACTAAAAACAAAAGGGAAAAGATGACAAAATTATAAAAACAAAAAGAATGAATGTTAAAAAAGGGGAAAAAACATTTTCGAGGAAAAAAAAATTTTCAAAAAAAGGTGAAAAAAAAAACCCTTTGATTAAAAAAAAAGGAATTTTATATATAAAATATAAAAAAACGCTTTTAAGAAAACATTTTAAATTCTCTACCCAAAGAGATTTAAGGACCATTTAAAAAAAAAAACGTCTTTCCCAAAAAAGAAGGATTTACCATATAACCCAAATTAAAATTCTCAATAAATGAAATTTTATGTTGTATGTTTTGGGTTGTGTAATGCGTGCGTGTGTGCGGGGCCGTGCGTGGGGAAAACATCCCGGGGTTTGTGTAATGCCTTTTAACGAAATTTGTTTTTTTGCAAGAAAACGGCCATTTTTGCAAAGAAAAACATAATATGGTCTGTTTAAAATATCCAATTTTAAATTTTCAGAAATTTTTTTGACGACAATGAAATTTCGGTTACATATGAAAACCTGGCGGGAAAATTCAAACGTTTTTAAACCATATCTCAGTCCATGGGCATGAACGAGACAAAAAACCGGCCCAACCGGAAACCCGGAAAAAAAAAATTTAAAGTTTTCCAAGTGGCAAAGGGAAAAAACG